TTTGTTTTGATTATGTTCGAATTTTGATCATTGCGGGAGCACTACCTTTTTGAAAAAAAAGCACTTATTTCATTTAAAGGGATTTAGAACATTTTTATAATGATCTTTAAACAGTCAACATGTACTAATTCTGTAGTTTTTTAACTGCTACTGTAAGTTCGTTTCCCACACTGGCAAACGGCATATCATTTCTCAGTCCGAAGGCTTTTCAGAATAAGGTAAACCTTTAGTAGCTCTCCGGTTTCCAAAGAACGTTTTACGAGGGTCCGACAAATCCCCGAAATGGTTCTGTGTGGCACTCAAACTTGCCGATTTCTGTCCCCCAACCCGCGTTTCAATTTACCCCTTGTACAGTTTATCTGCGAAATAAAAGTTGACGTTTTTTTTTTTTTGTTTTTGTATTTCAACAACACAACCGTTCTTGCTGTTCTTAGTGTCCAGGTCAAATAGGAAAAGTGTGTGAATGCAGGATAATGTAAACGAAATATATTCACGACCTTGCGTGCTTCTTGTGAATACGAAGTTTTTTTAATTACTTATCTGGGTGGACGAGCTCACAGCCCACCTGGTGTTAAGTGGTCACTGGAGTCCATAGACATTTGCAACGCAAATGCACCACCCACCTTGAGATATAAGTTCTAAGGTCTCAGTATAGTTACAACGGCTGCCCCACCCTTCAAGCCGAAACGCATTACTGCTTCACGGCAGAAATAGGCGGGGTGGTGGTACCTACCCGTGCAGACTCACATGAGGTCCTACCACCAGTATATCACCAGTATAGAATGTAAATATTACTACTACTGATGGGTAATGGAGAAGTACTAGTAGAAGCATATAAATAACAGAAGTGATGGTTACTTGTTGATTTACAATTGTTGGGGAAAAGGTAGGGGTAGGGGTGAGTATTATATTGTATTGATATGAGCGTGAGAATTAATGTTAACACATGAATTATTGTTTATATAAATGGCACCGCATCCGAGTGTGAGTGAAAGGAGAGAGGATGTGAGCAGGATAGTCGATGTTGTCTTTTTTTTCCTACCTATGCCTTCATAGGCTATTTCAGCTTCACCCTAACGTGTGTAGGTGAGCTCACGGGGCTCAAACCGGAGTGTTTGCTAACACTGACCCTAGCAAGAGCAGTGCTTCGCAGAATCTACCACCGGATCGGAAACGCGACGCACTGAGAAGATCCGGCGAGAAACTCAGTAGGCTCTGTCTGTGGGTTAATTCGCTCGTCGAGCCTTTCGTCGCAAGCGATAGGTTCGACGAGGACGGTGACCGGTGCTTGTGGTGCCTAAAAGCACCGTAATGACGTGCTTTGGACGACGTCGACTGTTTTCCATTCGGTCTACAGGATCGGGTATGTAGTTTCCAGCGGCCACGACAAGAGGTTTCCAGCGGCCACGACAAAAGGGTTCTCATGTCGTCGATATTGTCGGGAACAAGAGGTAGTGCTCACTTCAAAACGAGGAAAATAAAGAAGTGATTTTAAAATGAATATTTTATTGCTGAGCTCACGATCCCACATTGCCGATATCAATTATAATATTGCAGTAAAGTCGCCGGGTAATTGTAAGGTATCCTATACATCCTGCAGTTCTGTGGCATTTCTAAAAGCAAGTGACGATATTAATATTGTTGATGTTTATGGGCTCCGGTAACCACTTAAAAACAGGAGAGCGTTAAGCTCGTTCACCGGTCTAAGCAATAAAAAATTATAATAAAAACGCCAAGGCTTTCTGAAACATAGACGTTTGCCTAAACAGAAAAGGAAAATTATGTTACCATTGGCTAATGAACAAACGGTTTTGTTAAATTCTAAAAACAAATGATTCAAATAGTTTATTAATCATATTCGATAAATTTTAAACATTTTACAAGCAGTCACAATACGTTTATTTCGTTTGGAATAGCACACCGATAGAGTGAAGTCGCAGAACTTATGCTGAACTTATGTCTTCTTAGCAGGCTGAAAAATAAAACATATTATTAAGTTAAGTTTGGCGTTACATTATTCATCTCTTTCTCTCATAATCTCTCAGTCCTCCTCTGACATTGTGTCTTTGTGCACACTCATCAAATAAAATACATAAACCGTTTTCAGAGTGAAACAATAGGTAGGTATTAGCGGTACTTCATACATGGTGTCTAGTTATATACATCCCACTAGCTTAAAAAAAATTATTAACAAAAATTGATATCCAACAACAACCCCCAGGCATCAACGTGTCAAAGCTAACACATATGTACGATTGCAGTGTATTCAGTTTCTATATTGAGCATCTTAGTATTAATTCAATTCTGTTTTCCTTATGTAAAAACAACATGACCGAATGGATGAGATGCCCAGTGTACTCGTATCGAACGAAGGGGCAACGTCGATGCTCACATCTAAATCAAATGCAGGCAGCTATTATCTAATGAACTGTATACTGAAGACGAGTTCATTAATGATTTCCACGATGAAGGAACTACGTCGTTTTAATAAAAATAAAAAAAATCCTCAACAAATACAATTTGCGTAATCATTACACAACAGTTGAGATACAAATCTAAAGTCTGAGGAAGACTGGTCGTTTTCACGCCATTATATGGGGCACATGCTTAAGCCACTGCGTTTCTCGTCGGATCTTCTGAGTAAGTCGCGATACCTATCCGTTGGTAGATTCTGCGAAGCACTGCACTTGCTAGGGCTAGTGTTAGCGAATTCTCTCAGGCTTAGCCCGTGAGTCCATCTACTCGTCTGCGAACTTGAAATAGCCCCTTAGGCTACCAGCGAACAGGTAGGTAAAAAAGTTATCCGGCAACCACTTAACACAGTTTAGATACGGTGAATGCTTTTAAATTCAGACAGGAACATATGGCGTTGGAAACTTGGAACATTAATACTTAAATAATATATATTATTATATTTACACAACAATGCACACAGTACTGTGTAAAGTGAGCTGTATGTATTATACAAAACTTATTTCCTCAAAATTGTTGAACATTAAAACGTCGCAAGCGCCAAATTGTATAAACAACGAATTTGTTTTTGTCTGCATCAAGAAAAACAATGAACTCCAAAATGGAATTCATGTCAAATGAAACTAAAAGCAGTTAACTTAGACCTTCAACACCAGGCGATACAGACCAGTTTCAATTGAATTGTGGTTAAATGATATCACTGTCGTGTTTATCAAAGCAAGTGTGTTGAAATGACGCAGCTTGTTTTGATTTCGTTAATGACATCAATATAATGCAGAAAGACATAATTTGAAATAAAACTCACCAGCCTCAATCCCAACCTGCTCTGCTGTTCCTCAGGAGTATAATCAGCAAATTTGTTAATGCCAAACGTAGTATATGGATTCTTCTCGTTCAATTGGTTTATCTCTGCCAAGTTTTTCTTGAATGATTGATAATGCAGCTCTCTGTCGGCATCATCCTTGTATTCCCTGTTATGCTCTTTGACGAAACTTTCGAACAATTCTTTGGCTTGATTGAGGTCATAATGTCTCGGAGGATCTGTCTCCGCCGAGGACGCCATTACTACTGTGGCTATTAACAACGCCACACTGACGAAATTCATTTTTGCGCAATGTATTAACAGTGGAACCGGTTTACTTGTGCCTAGTTCTGCTACGTTCACTCAAATGTGTCGTCTCATTGATCGCTATGTTATTTATATAGGTCGGTCCACATCGTTACCAGTGTTTGTCAACCTTTGACTTTTACAAGGTATAAAAACAAGGAAAAATTTTACAAAACCAAACAATCAATCATACGAAATGTGCAAAGTTTTAGTTTTAATTTGATTATCTAAAATGTGTACGTGAGAGATAAATTTATATTTTACATGTGTCTGATTTAAATTACGTCATTTTCGACATGGTTTATTTGGTACAGGTAGCGATACGTTTTGTTTATTCAATTGGAAATAAATGTGCCAATGTCTTTTTTTTTAATTATAACTGATTCAAACTTTTTTTAATAGCGTCAAGTATTAAAATAGGTATTCTGCAAGTCATTTTCATTTCCGGAAAAGTTTTTATAAATTTATTATTGTTTTTACATAAATTAAAACTACGTTTTATCATAATTTTAATTTTAAAAAACGAAGATGATTTCGGGAGGGGCCTATTCGATAGTGAGGTTTTTTTGGTTGTTGGTTATTACTGATGATAGGACCTCTTGTGAGTCCGCGTGGGTAGGTACCACCGCCCTGCCTATTTCTGCCGTGAAGCAGTACCTAATGCGTTTCGGTTTGAAGGGTAGGGCAGCCGTTGTAACTATACTGAGATCTTAGAACTTATATCTCAAGGCGGGTGGCGTATTTACGTTGTAGTAGTTGTGTCTATGGGCTCCAGTAACCACTTAACACCAGGTGGACTGTGAGCTCGTCCACCCATCTAAGAAATAAAAAAAATAAAAAAATTGATGTCTTACTGAAGGGCAACACTGTTTGCAAACAAACAAAGTCGTCGTCGTTCTAAATGATAAGGCGCACGGTGTACTTGTATGTATGCATATACAAAACCGCGAAAAGTAAAATTTAGGTCATTACTGGTAGCAGGGCGTCTTATGATCCGACACGTGTATATTTGCTTTAATGAGTTGAAAAAATTGTAAAATAATCATAAGTCGATCGAAGGCCTGCGAGTGCGATTCACATATAAAAATGAAATTATTTGAAATTGAAATGTTTTCATAATTTTAGTTTTTGGAGTTATTTTATCGATTTGAATGCGTTCGTTGAAGAGTAGTTTCTTTTAATTCACCCACCGACTGATATTTCACTGTAGTGATATTTCTCTGTAGCGATATGTACATATCAAAGCAATATAACTTATATTTGCTGATTGCCTTACTCAAAAAAAGGGAAAATATATACTGACAATAGATGTAAACATGTTTAATATAATTCATGTAAGTTTTCCAAAATCAAATATAAATAAATATGAAAATTTATTTAATTAATAAATTATATAAATTAATAAAAAAAGTCGTTCATTTCCAAACGCTTTATTACTTAAAAACTAAACATCAACAAGATAACACTGTACAGATTCCATTAAATATCCATAATATATAATATACACAGTACACATCTAAATGATGAATTAAATAAAAATTATTCACTCAAAGCTAAAATTGTAATATCACAACCTTTCATTTATACAAAGACTTCATTTCGGCTTCGGCAAGTTGGTTTTCGCCGTCACGAATAAGTTTTCATAGTTGATACTTTATCATATACATATCTACATTACTATATCTATACTAATATATATCATACATGCACTAATTACAAACTCTGAAACTAAAATACTATAATTTCTTAGTGATTTTTTGGATTCTTCAGTTTTGAATCCATATTATTAAGTGATAGAAATTGGTATTGCTATTTTTGTTGTACTCAACAAGAAATATAGCAGTTTTTTGGTTCGTCAACATAAGTTGCATTATCTTATTATTTAAATGGACGTTGTCAGTTTTCTAGAGTTGTGTATCGCTTATGTTTACCTGTGAATCTTCCGACAGAGTACCTGGAACCAATTAAATAACGAATATCGGTATCATTCATGCTGGACGGCTTGTTACAGTTGAAGTCAAAATATCGAATGTTTTGAACAGTAAAAATAAATTTGATGGTTTTTTTTTATTGCTTTCATGGGTGGACGAGCTCACAGCCCACCTGGTGTTAAGTGGTTACTGGAGCTCATAGACATCTACAACGTAAATGCGCCAACCCACCTTGAGATATAAGTTCTAAGGCCTCAAGTATAGTTACAAGGGCTGCTCTCACCCTTCAAACCGAAACTCATTACTACTTCACGGCAGAAATAGGCAGGGCGGTGGTACCAACTCGTGCGGACTCACAAGAGTGCCTGCCATCAGTAAAAACCAGGTCTTCGTTTGAGTGACACCTTACTGAACAATTTCATGTTATAAACATTACTTTTAGTGTTAATTATATTTCGTAGTGAATGTATGTTTTTCTATGATTGAGGGATCACTGGTGGCCCGGAGGCCTTTCCAGTTTCACCATGACAGGTGGGCGAGCAAAAGCTCAGCCAAGAAGGGTGGGATTTGCTAACAGCTGTTCGAGCGCCTCAAAGGAGACCTTACAACTCAAAAGCTTCGCGAATGAATCTACTACCGGGTCAGCATCGCGACCCGCTGAGAAGATCCGGCGAGAAACTCAGCGGGCTGATGTCTAGGTTAGGTTGTATTCGTGTATATGATAAACCGATGATATGATGACCGACACGGAATTCATAGGACAGATTTTATTCGCTCTGACACTATTAAACACTAGTTGACCCGGCAGACTTCGTAGTGCCTCAATCGATAAATAAAAGACCTAAACTTTTGTATAAAATAAACTTAAAACAAACAAAAGGAATCCGTCCGACGGGGGACTCATCAAAGGAAAAACAAAATTGTTATTTTTATTTAATTCCGAGCATTTTCATATTTATCTACCTTTTAAACCTTCTCTGGACTTCCACAAATAATTCAAGACTAAAATTAGCCAAATCGGTCCAGCCGCTCTCGATTTTTAGCGAGACTAACGAACAGCTTTTCTTTATTATAATATGTATATATTTAAAAAATGACATTACGTACAAAATATATGGATAGTCCATATTGCGAAAAGTCCCGTTTGACTGTTTGCCTACGACATCATGTATAACACTAATTCGTATGCAGCCAATCAAATTATTTTGATTGCACATTAAACGATCGGTTGGCGGTGCTCCAATAATAAATAAACTCAATTGTGCCATCAATATGTCACAGTCGACTGGTACATTAACACTAGCCGCGCGCGCATCGCAACCGGAAACTGCTTTTAAACACTTGAAATATTGAGGCAAATAAAATCATTTTCGGCCGGTTTTCGAATTTCATATCATGCGTTGTTGATTGTTAAAAAAAAATGACAGTAGTTTTAGATTACCAATAACGTTCATTTTTTGCTTAATTGGGTGGACGAGCTCACAGCCCACCTGGTGTTAAGTAGTTAATGGAGCCCATAGACATCTACAACGTAAATGCGCCACCCACCTTGAGATATAAGTTCTAAAATCTCAATATAGTTACAACGGCTGCCCTACCCTTCAGACCGAAACGCATTACTGCTTCACGGCAGAAATAGGCAGGGCGGTGATACCTAACCGCGCGGACTCACAAGCGGTCCTACCACCAGTGTTTTATTTGAGACACGATTTTGGTCAAATTCTTATTACCTAAATACTTCTTTTTGATTAATCGATGTTTTAATTATTGTTATGTGTTACGTACAGTATGAAACATTCGAATTATGAAAACGTTGAAATAAAAATCCACGAAACGATAAGGTTTTTTTATCTTTTCGATTTAATCAAGAAAATGTAACAACAAGTATGAATTGCGCTACAGAGATAGATAACTTAGAAGAGTAACGAAGTCGACGGACAATGACTTGCTTCATTTCGCTAATATGATAGACGCAAAACACTCTTGAATATTAGATAGTGGAAAATTTCCAAAACAAAACTCTAATTTTTGTTCTTCTTCTATTATGGAGGGTAGAGAGGTAAGGACCGACATCTTATAAAGGGGACAAGTTGAAAAAAAGTTTACCTGTAATCAGCAAAGTTACTGAAGTTAAACTTCTTTAGGCGCGTTAAGAGTAAAATTTTACTACCGACAGATTCATTACGGCTATAGAGAAAAGATACAGTGCAGGACGAACGAGACTGAGAAAATAGACGGAGCATCTCGCGAACGACTTGACCGTGAAGAGAGGGAAAGGACAAAGCGAGCTAGGTCGTTTCTCTAATACACAGCATCCCCTATTACAAGATAAATTTGATTTAAGGATGAAAAATGAAGAAAACTGCAAAAGAAGTTTCACTTCTTTCACACGCACCAAGCTGCACGTGCACCAGTTATTTGTTGCCGAAAGAGCGCTTGTGTAAGAAATGAAAATGATATCAATATAGCGATATTAAACACAGCGAAGTGTGCTGGACTGAAATGCAATATGGCATTTTGGCACCGTTTTTAAAATCCTTCCACTTGCTTCTATTGATCCACTTTTGGAGCGAAGTTCCTTATGGGACGATGCGGAAGGGTACTTTTTTTTCCGGGTAGGGGGCCGAACCTCCTACGAGGTTCCAGCGCAAAAGGGGCGCGCGGGGTATGTGAGACTCAACCATCTGCATGGTGTTGTGAACAGCCCGCGGGCGCCCTAACCGGGAAAAAACTTCCGTAACGTAAGATTTTTATTAGTAATTCACACAGTGTACGACTTAACTTTGTAATAACGTACAAAAAATAACATATTTTTTTATCATTAATTGACCACAATGCAGAGCGTTCGTTTGCGCAAAACACTAACTCTTATGCAAACAAGCGTGAATGAAGTGTACCACAATAAGTTCGCACGTTACAGAATGACCGTGGGTTGTAGCGAAACCTCCAGTTTTATTTTCTTTGTACCTCGAATAGAACTTAAAATGAATATTTTCATAATAAGGAACTTCGTTCCTATCCGGTGTCCCACGACACCACACATTTTTTTTTTAATAAACACTGCATATACTTCTGTGAATCAATTCAAAGGTCGATCGTTCCGCCGGGAGATATAATTTCTTACCGGCCAACAGTATCCTGAGCTGCTCGGCGTCGCAGAAGTGAGGGTCCTGGAGAACGTTGAGCAATTGTTCTTTCACTAAGGGATTCGCGTCACACCAGAAAACGCGACCGCCACGTGACCATTCCGCCACTAACATTTTCAAACTCTGCAAGAAGAGAAATAAAACGCATAGTACATATTTTCTTCGGTTTTTGCAGGTCGAGGACATAATAAAAACTAACTTTTACGGTTCAATTTTGCATTTTTTAAAGTAATTATATTATTTCCGACGTTTTGGATTTTTTCATGGTCGCGGACTTAGGTGTTATTCGTCAACATTTTAACATTACGGTAACTACCGTCAATTGTTATAAAAAAAATAATCTAAAAATCATTATATCGCAAAAGTTGCTTTAATTATTTAAAAAACCCTGTTTTCTTGATGCATTATTTAACTAACTACAAAGATTTTTTTTTGGTTCCTAAGTAGAAATATGTAGGTAGATATTTATGCCTTAAAACTAAAGTATGTTTATACTAAACGTTGACAAAGAATTTCATAGTTCGAATGCTTGTCAAACAATAAACCGTACTTTATAACACAACACGAAGTACAACAAAGCAATAGGTACAATATTACAAATTCGTATTATTCACCTCCCATGATATTCCTTTGTTGTGCTCTGACTCATGACCGATTTATTAATCGCTATAAATAACACCTAGTAAACAATATAATTAATTCCATTATAATGAATATTGAAATGTAATAAAATTAAATGAGACATTATATTGAATAATCTATGCCGGTAAATGAGAGAATAGGTACGATCTAAAACATGGACACGATATTGAAAAACGTTTGGAAGATACATTTCAACTGGTATTAGTAGTATTAGTACATCTTGTGAGTCCGTACGGGTAGGTACCACCACTCTGCCTATTTCTGCGTGAAGCAGTAACGCCATTCAATTTGAAGGGTGAAGCAGCCGTTGTACTGTAAAAACCGAGGCCTTAGAACTCGTGTCTCTCATACATTTACGTTGTAGATATCTATGGACTCCGGTAACCATTTAACCACCAGATGGGCCGTGAATTTGTCTAGCTAGGGCCGATCCTGAGTGCAAACGGCTAGTACTAGTCCCAATATCCTATTTTTAGCCCTAAGCATTAAGGTAGAACGGCTGCGATTATTCTACAATTAAGTCATTTTTCCCTACAAAATCGCCGCTAACCTCGGGGGCTATTCTAGTTACTCGCGGCTTAGTGGACGAGCTCACAAGGTTCAACCTAACAGAAAGTGCTAACACTAGCCCTAGCAGAGAAGTGCTTCGTTTCGTGCGAAAATTGAGATGTTCGCGTCATATCAGTATCCTTATTAAATATATTTAGTTTATCTCGTGTGTGTTTCCGGCAACCAGAGTGCTTAGTGCGAATTTTTTAACGTTTTCGATATCGTAAAGGTTAACCCAATTTGTATGCAGATGAAACAGCTAGCGGCAAACGTAGGTAAACGTTCCAACTCCATACAAATTTGAGTTAATTTTTACGCTATCGAGAACGTAAAAAATTCACACTAAGCACACAGAAGACAGAACAAAGTCCTAGCTTAAGGCCGTCGAATGACGTTGACGAATGAGCTTTTCACCAACTGAAAAGTCATTTCAACATCCACCTTGAGGCATGAGGTCGAAATCTTGATTATACTGTTTACCGGCTCTCCTCTATCCTCTAGTCCACAAATTATGACTGCTTCGCGGCTAAATAACCTACCAGAGTTTGGTAATGTGGCCTGCTGTTTTACTACGATATTATACTACGTACTAGATTTGAACCGACGATAAATCATAAGAAAGGAAACTAGTACGTTGAGCGATTTGATTGAGTGCGAATCTCTCATCTAAGCCGTACGTCATATATGAAGCCAAATTGCTTAACTGTGTAACCGTAGATCGAAATGTTTCCGAAAAAATAATACAAACTCAGTTTGTTTTGTTATTTGTGGTTAGTATGTAAACGAGGAAAAAGGGAAAAACTTTAGTTATTCAAACGCAGTTGAGAATAACTCTCTGTCCGATGACAAAATGAATGTTGAATTGCGTAAATATTTTATGTGATTTATGATTTTTGTACGCGCAGTCATGATGCTTATTGAATTTAAAAATTCCAAAAATATTCAAGTGCCATATTGGCAGATGCAGATATATACTCTAGTAGATAGTGTGTTTTATTTTAGTGAATATCCTAATGAACTTTGTAACAAAACTATATTATATTATACGGAGACCATCAGGTAAATCTAATAGTTACTAACTGCATGTGCTAATATGGCACTTAAATATTATAAATGTATCTATTACTAGGTATATCAAATCTATTGTTTTGCATTTACTTTATATCTCTGTTGCAAAGCAGACGGATTTTAATATTGTTGTTAAGTTACACGCGGTCTTTTGGCCTCAAACTAGGGCTTCGTGTTACTCTATACAAACAAGATATATTACATACAACAAGTTCCCATATACAAACTTATATATATTTTAGTTTATAGTATAGTATCTATCAAGTGTCAAAGCAGAACTATTCCCGTCTTTATACAATTGAAAGATCACATATCTCAAATGGGCAATGCTCACGTACATATTATGGTTCCAACTTAACACCAAACGAGTCATAAAATTACTACAACTATCACTAATTATTATTAATAAAATAGAAATTATTTTTTATTTAATCAAGAAACTTACCTGCAAAAAAGTATAGTCCATTCTAGACACTGCGTCACAATACACGACTAGAAGTTCTGTGGACCTTATAAAGTTACCGTTGATATTCCCATTGGTAACATTATTCCCGTTGGCATTATTATTCCCATTGGATAAATTCCCGTTGGCAATATGATTTCCATTAGCGATATTGTTCCCATCACTAGTTCCATTATTATCCGAATCAGGTATTATTGTTAATGTTTCTAGTGCTGTAGCCGGGATGCTGTTGTTTTTAGGTTTTCTCAGAGATATCAGTTTTGATCTGACTTGTTCTGCTCCAGCGAAATACAAACCGCCGCACGGATGGATCGCAAAATGCGCTGGCAAAACTCCGTCCTGTATAAATAAAAAAATTATAAGACCATTATTTCTTAATTTACTCGATTTTTTTATGAGAGCTTTTAAACGCCCCTATGATAATTGATCTTCAGATTCTGTAGCTGAGTATTATTCTTATAATTTCTAAATAATACCGGCTCACAGTTGAGTCACGCGGTGTATTTATAATTGCATATATACAAAATAAATATAACTGGGTCAAAGTCGCAAAAATGTATCTGTGTCATGATTTTCATTTCGGAGCCACCCAGTAGCTACCATCTTTATGTAACAGTTCACAAATAAATGCACAATTAGTTAACTACAGTGGCCGTGGCGTTCCAAAAGAAGCCGTAGTCGGCCAAATATTTAAAAAAATCAGCGTTTTGAATCGAAAAATCAAACAACAACAAAAATTGTATTCGACTCACATTAACGTAAACTATATCGAGTGGGGGTCTGGAATGGTAGTAAAGCAGCAGTAGCATGTCTACTACAACTCCACATATCAATCCCACTTCGATACCCAATGCTAGACAGCATACGAAGGAACCCAACAGCGGTATCAGGTCTAATCCTGTGGATAGAAAGTTTGTGTGAACTTTATCAGCATTATTCAATAGATACACGGAGACGGCGGCTACCAACACCATTGAGAAAATGGACACGAGATTAAGGAATTATTTATGAATAAAATAATATTATAAACTACGTAATTACTACTACTACTAGCGCTCTGATTACCATCGTGGCACTTGTAGTAGTAGCAGAGCCGAAATATCAATAGTTCATTAATACTACAAATCGTGATAAGATCTCGATAAACAATAGTAAAGGTAAATTATAGAGAGAAAAAAACAAAATAATTGAGTCACTCATTAGATTTTCTGCCTTACGGTGATCTTTAAAAGGGTCTTTTTTGTTCTAGATAAGCAAACAAACGACTCATTCGATTTTAAATGTACTAATACTAAATTCGGAAATGAGGTCGAAAACTCAATTGGATTCTAAGACCGAAACACGTGACATCCTATCACAGTCTTGGTTCTTTACAGTCACATGCTAGGTATTAACAATGTCACACCCAAGCTATCCTTGTACACTGCACAACTACAATGTGTATATACCTACGTAAATAAATAGGAATATATTATGTATTAGCAGCTCTTGTCTAATCCTTCAGGAATAATTTAGTGATACGCTTCCTCTTCGGTCAGCGGTCATCCTTAATTAAATAACTGAATTACTCATTATAATCTTTAGTGAGATTATACGGGTGCGGTTCGGTGCCATACCGAATACGAAATTTAATATAGGTAATCAAATAAATCAACTGATACTAAAATTATTATTAGACCAGAAAATCGATCGAGCCTGCGAAAAATACGTTACGGGTTACTTAAAGCTGGTAATGATACTTAAAATAATTGATTATTCTGCATCCATAGTGATGAGGTTTTAAAATGGAGTGCCCTTGTACACTGTATCCTTACTGTCGTGTTTCTTCTAACAGCTTTGTGTACAAAATATATTAAATAAGTAAAAAATAAATGGAACATCTAAAAATGTTTCGATTTAATGGGTTTTTTTTTCAAATACGAGGACTCTCCCGGGGACATCCACAACATCGCAAACAACTATACCGGAAACACCTTTCATTAAAATACATTACATTACGTGCCAATTTATTGTCACCACACCAAAATCAAACTACGAATCCGTCATTGTATTACAAACAAAATAAATTTCCTGCGAATCTGTACAACGGAACGCGAGTTCATAAATTTACGATCAAGAATCTGACGCAGTGCGGTGACCCACGTTAATATTGTACACAGTTTGCGTCGTAAATCATTGCGGTACTCACGGCTGGTGTTCCAGAGTTTCTTCAGTATGTCCGTGTCGACCATGTGCAGGACGGCGCAAACTATCACGGCGGAGAGCGCGGCGCGCGGAATGAAGAAGAAGTACGGAGTCAGGAGGGCCAACGTCAGTAATACGATTACACCTGTTAATGTTAATATTAATTGCAAACCCACATCAATGTGCTTAGTGCGAGTTTTTTTAACGTTGTCGATATCGTAAAAGTTAGCTCATATTTGTATGGAATGGGATCGTTTGCGTACGTTTGCCGCTAGAGGCGCTGTTCCAAGTGCATACAAAACTGGGTTAACTTTTACGCTATCGAGAACGTTAATAAGCTCGCACTAAGCACACAGTTGTGTTACAGTTTATTTTCCCTACCTCATCGCTGATAGCCTAAGGGGCTATTCCAGCTACTCATGCTCCGGAAGGTGAGTTTGCTAATACTGGCCCTAACAAGAGCAACGCTTCGGAGAATATACCACAGGATCGGAATCGCGACCACCCAGTAGATCCGGCGAAAAACACAGTAGGTACAGATTATCGAAAGCTTCACTAGTATTTAGGTGTGACGATCTATTTATCGAATTTCTCTGGTAAACTTTCTTCTGTCTCCTTTTTAAGAATCAATATTTACAATTCGATGCCATCCTTAACTTATTAAATACGCTTTTTTTATTATTATTATTTATTTTATTTTATTTAATTTAATACGCTTTGTTTATAAATGCATGACGTAGTAGCATAATTACTCATCCCTATCGCTCTAACGTGACCCCCGTTATCATTGTTATGTTCTGCTAGAGACTGGGCTATCTATCGGCATGTACGAACTAGGCTAGTGACATCATCCCACCAACACGCGTATGATTAAGTTCCTATCCGACCAGGTGCGGTGATCATTGCCACTGAGTCAAATATGAACCAAAAAAGATTTACTTAAATACCATAAAAATGAACCCCGAGCCTTCATTAACATAATATAGTATCGAATAAGTCTGAAATTATCTAACATATTGATTTCGTTATTCATATGAACAAAACAAATTAGTCACTTATTTTATGACAAAACGCCTGACGGTTAAGTGAGAGACAATTTTGATTTAATAAAATTTCAAGACATCATCACTGCTATCATTACATAGCATTGCATTTGATGAAGATAACGTTAATGGCAAAGAAGTACGCCCAAAACTTCCTCAGAAGTATAACAATTAGTTGTTTAAAATTCTAATCGATTTTGAATTCGACACATCAGCAGTCTGTTGAAAAATTAGATGATGATATTTTAAAAGCTATAATTGCCTACAGTATTTTATACTTTTTTTGAGCAGGCGAGCTCTCAACTGATCTAATTTGAAATAGTCTCACAAGAGCTTATAAATATCATAACGTGAGTACTTAAAACCTGAATTTAAAGTCGAAATTGTACGGTTCACTATAACGCCTTTATAAAAAAATCTACATCTATAAAAACAATAAATTTAACCGATTAAAGAAAAAACATGAAATCCCCTGTCTTAAACCCAACATTAACGAAACAACCGTGTTAATTTTACACTAAACTTTGCACTGGGCATCATGTGATCTCTAAATCATTTGTTCTTTTTTTTTTTTTTATAACAACTAAGGGGCAAACGAGCAAGAAAATTTAAAATAAATTTGAAAACTGTGCGGAAACTGAATAGTGACAGTCAACTACAATGAAAACTTTTTGGATTATTTCAGTCTCCAAGACAACGCTATGTACTGGACAATATGAGAAATGAAACATAGAATATTCATTACGTTTGCCTTAGCAAATTTTGCGTGATGTCATCTGACCGCGCCGAGACAAACAGATTAAATCTGATCAATTTCGTATACCATCGAAGATATTCCATAAATCAAAGCTGCCATTCTTCTAGATTTAATTCAGATGATATTAAAACGTTCTCGGTACTGTCCGAGATATCTCGTTCGAACGAAACTTTGACGCTATCTAAAATTTTTATTGAAAAATCTCAGACAAAAGTGGCCTCAAATCGTTTCGTAGATATGCTCGATTTTAATGCAAAACCCGAAAAATCTATTGAAATTCAATTGAGCCGAGTAAATATTCATCGGAGGGATCTTTGAATAATGCAAATTCTAAATAACCGAAGTTTGCAAGCTGACGAAACGCGACATGCGATCTTTACGGCGCCCTCAGCGTCAGGGGTGCAGGGCATTTGATTAAACAAGATGTCAGAGTTTGCTTAGGGCGTGCATCATAAACGTGAAACTTTTTCACCGAATGCCTTAAGTCCAAGAAAACTTACTCGTTTTTCTTTGTTACTTTGAAATGTTCAAAATCTTTCTTATTAGATGTTGCTACTGAATTTTTGGTAGCAGTAAACAAAAATGATATTTTAACTTCTATTTTAAAAAACCGTTAACATTACACGCAGCTTAGAACCCGTATTCCGTAGCCCCGTGACTGTTTTGTCTCTGACATAGCCATCGACGATTACCACTCAGAATCAGGTAACTTCACAAGCCATCTGATTTTAAATGATTAGTAAAATGTAGTATTGTAAAATACTGATTGATTTGAAAATTTTAAAGTAGATATTTTGCGAAATTTGAAAATTGCTAGAAACCGCCCCATCCTACCTCGACACCGTATATTATGTTCCCTTGTACATTTTTAATAATTGTAAAATATAACTATAGTCGCTTGGCTAACAATACAGCTCAGATCTTTGTTTTACTAGTGGTAGGACCTCTTGTGAGTCTGCACGGGTAGGTACCACCGCCCTGCCTATTTCTGCCGTGAAGCAGTAATGCTTTTCGGTTTGAAGGGTGGGGCAGCCGTTGTAACTATACTGAGACCTTAAAAATCGTATCTCAAGGTGGGTGGCGGCATTTACGTTGTAGATGTCTATGGGCTCCAGTAACCACTTAACACCAGATGGGCCGTGAGCTCGTCCACACGTCAAAGCAATAAAAAATAAAAAAATTATATTGTTTTCAGCAGAGACAAAAAACTGAATATATTTTTTTCCAACACATGCGATGCCTCCATGAATACGATACGGTCTACAATAAGGAAAACTTGACTTGTGCGGTATGGTTTGCTAAGCGACTATATACATATGTATCATATATAGTATTTTCGAATGAGATTTTTTACGGCTATCGTGTCAGGAATCTCAACACTGGCTGTTTTCATTTCAAGGACCATTTTGCGGTACAATTTTCTGTACAATCTTCAATAATTTTATAAGTTCATAGTTTTTAAATTCCTCCAATTAATCGTTAACAGTCTGAGGAATATAATAATTGGAAAGATTTTCAACTTTCAACAAAACTTAATTCGAATCTAGTCAATAATCCAATATCTTAGACTGATTTGTATATATTTGAATAGTTTCTGAAATTCGAACCATTTATCTTGAAGTTTCTAAGTTATTCGTCTATGGTTGTGATTCACTAAGCGTAGAAGGGATTGTTATCGAACTAGAAGAGGTTTGATTAAAATAACCTTCTTCAGAATTTTAATCATATGATTCTTATTTGACGGATTCTTATTACAACTTTAAATTGGATTGAGCTCCCTGTGCTAGTTGACTCGTCTATGATATAAATTCACGATATTGAAAGCCTTTTCAAAGAATTAATAAGCCCATTGTTATTGATCACCAATGGTAACAACTAAAAATGAACCAAAAAAATAGGGTCATCTAACACCAATTTCGTCGTCTAAAATTATTTCTCTACCTAATCGTTGCTAGCCTAAGGGGCTATTCCAACTTTCCGCGGACCGGTAGGTTTTTTTTTATTGCTTCGTTGGGTGGACGAGCTCACAGCCCACTTGGTGTTAAGTGGTTACTGAAGCCCATAGACATCTACCACCTTGAGATATAAGTTCTTAGGTTTCAAATATAGTTACAACGCTGCGCCACCCTTCAAACCGAAACGCATTACTGCTTCACGGCAGAAATAGGCAGGGTGGTGGTACCTACCCGCGCGGATTCACAAAAGGTCCTACCACCAGTAACACGTACCACCAGTAACGGTGAGCACGCGGGCTCAAGTTGAGAGAATTGCTAACAGTAGCCCTAGAAAGAGCAGTGCTTCGCTGAATCTATGTATTAACGAATCTGAATCGCGTCCCATTGAGAAGATTCGGCGAGAAACTTAGTGGGTAGCGTGTGACAGAAAAGAGAACGAAAAATGTTTAAACCTTAATCGCGCTAACATCAAGATAATCTTAAAGCTTAAGTACTTCGATGATCCGATGATTTTTTTAATATAAGATACTCACCAGTATAGAAGCCAGCGGCCGGCGTCTTGACCCCAGAAGCTTCACTGACAGCGCTCCGTGTGAACGAACCGTTCACGGGAAACGAACGAAAGAATGCCCCGAACAAGTTGCAAGCGCCCAGAGCCACTATCTCCTGAGTCGCGTCCAACGTTCTGCCGTTCGCTGAGTACCGTCAACTTTGTTTAAACATCGCTTTAACGTTCCCGATCGTCAGTGCTGGATTTAAACTAGACGCAGTCGGGGCAAGTGCCCAGGGAGGCAAAATAAATATTTAAAGAATTTGAAAAAAAAAAAATTTGTAGTTCCTATCAAGATTGCTCAGTATAATTAATTAATTTCTTTTTAATTGATAATTCAACAAATTCAATTCATCCATTATTTGTTCATTATAATTTTGGCACTTTTGATAAACATTAATAATCAAAATTATTTAATCAATTTATTTCCTTGGACATTTAAAATAATAATCGATTTTTCTATTTTCTGGAATTAAAGAAATTTAATTATGAGTCACCCTTATTGCAAAATCTATAATTTTTAGAAAAAAAGGTTTAAGTATAAATTACAGTATTGAGGCGAATTTTTTTCCAGTGCCCAGGAGCGGCATTAAGTTTAAATCCAGCCCTGCCGATCGTTGCAATGAAGAATAATGGATTGTTATAGTTTATATTCTTGGGCGATATTTTACAGGGAACCGTTCAGTGTGAATGGTCGGAGCGATATTAAGTTTTATTGTATCGTTACATCGTGGCGTCCGAAGCGGTGTTGCTTCATAGTTTAGTACTATTCGAGAAATTTTATTCGTCGATAAGTTAATTAATAGTGTTCAACATCGACGCAATACAGAATTGAAAAGCAATTCGTTCGTACATTGTAGAGTACTTTATAATTACAACTCAATCTTCGCACTAGTTAACTTATAGATTGTATTGTTAGCAATATTTTATGTAGAAATGAAAACGATCATATCAATCGCTTTACCAAAATATATCTGCACGTACTTTTCTTTAGAATAAACCAGCAACGTCGTCAATAACCTTAAAAGATATAATCAAAACTACTTCTATGGTTTAACCAGCAACGAAGTCTTCTAGACGACGATTAAAAGATATAATCAAAACTACTTCTATGGTATAATCTTACGTTTATTATTTCCGACATCTCGATTACTTCACAGATTTTCATTTTCGTAATTACGAACTACTAAGGTGCTATCGTCGACATTTGAGTAATGTGCTAACTACCGTCTAATTATCCATACAAAAAAACATTTCGAATTGTTTTGTAAAACCGTAAAAGTACTTTTAATTATTTCTCGGATCAACGAAAACCGAAGAAAATACGGCTTTAAAATATAGCTTTCGAAAACTTCAATCGTAATATCAAAACATGACCTATTTATTTTAAAACTTCCTGAAGAAGCTTTATCAAATTATAAGAGTTAGTGACATTATAGAAACCCGTGAGAAGCTCACGAAACATTAAAGTTTATTCTGTCACCACTGAACTCATGTTTGAATTGATGTTGAAAGTCCTTAAAAGTTGTTCGCGAACTGTTGAAAGCTTTCGCATACTTATCTACGTTCGCGACATTAAACAGTTTTCACGCCTACTTTTTTACTCGAAGGGTCACTTTCTTTCTGACTACTAATAAATCGAAAAAGTTTGATGAACCGTTTCTCAAGCTGCCTTTATTTCGGGTAAATCAAAACGAAGTCAAGACAAAACTTCTCTTTTTTATAGCGACCAAAGCAGGCTCCCTAATCATGGGTAACTCAAATCATCGACTCTTTTCAAAACTATGTATTTTGAAGATGGGTATTTAGAAATACTTAAGGTAAGCTCATTCAACGTAATACTAAAAATAAATGGAGTCGCAGTGACTATGAGTATTGGCAATGAACTATGCTCCTTTGATACGATTACAAGAGATCAACCCAAACAACTACTTAAAGTGCACTTAATAGCTTTTTTACTTCAGTCATTAGGCATACACAAAATTAAATGTCATGGTACTTTAATAATTATATATATATATAGAATAAACTAATTACATTATTTGAAAGCAGAGGCTTTAAATTGGTTCCTCATATTTTACTTTCCGTCTATTTTTATTTGGGATTACAGGAGGCCAATCCGAATGCTTCTGAGGACCAAGAACATATCCAGTCCCAAACCCGAATCATGTTCTCCAATTATACCAAAGAGCCACGAATGTGTTTCCCTAAAACCCTTTGTTTTACATTATCATTTCAATTTTGAAATAAAGCTGTGTGTATGTAATGTTTCTTTATGGACTGTAGCGTGTTTGAGGAAGAATTTTTGATGAGGATATAATCCTCTTTGCACCGAAATCACAACAAACCTCCTGTCCCTCACAGAGAATATTACTCCGGAATCATCGTGATTCGGGCCTCACGTTGCCCGATAATATCGTGTTCGAACAGAACAAATAATCACTAAGTAGTGATAATGTTATTTAGTTCGTTCAGACGAATATTACGGCGCTTTGTGCTCCAGACAAAGCTCTTAGATTTTTTGCCAAATATTCGGGATAAAGGGAATGGCTAATGCGTCATCTAGCCAGTCGTGAACGAGTCTTTTCTTTTCTAATTAATTGCCTCCATTGTTAAGTAATTCTTTCTTTCGGCGATCAATCATAGTTTTTACGGCGCTAATGTTATATTGGATTTTTTCTCCCGAAGCATATTGTTTGGAAACTTTTTAATTCATGAGAGTTATTTGTTTTTCGTGTTTTTCGTGGTTCATAAAGTAGGTGGGTAATTTCGGTTACAATGTGTTTTAATTCTGTTCAGTCAGTATATATATAATAGTAATGTATACTTAAAAAGGTTAATACAATAGTGATGTATTGTTAAGAATCTTTAAGCTGTGTTTATGTTGTACGTTGTTACAAATAACGAAAAAAATAAACACAAAAGGTGTAACTTCATAGAATCCTCGTAAAACAATTACAGATTTGTTGCTTAAGCAGTACAATGAAAACGTTAAGTAATTTAGATTAAAAATACCAAAATAAAAACTTACAGAAAGCTTTGGCGATGGCCACATTCGAGATGATTCCAACTAATGGAACCACCAAGAGACCAGAGCCCAAATGCGTGAACATTTCCACCGCAGTATATGTAGTATTACCCACCGTTGTGTGGAAGGCAGGTGCTTGAGGAATTGGAAGGCCTGGAGTAATGCTACCTATAATAAATTCAGGCATTATTATAATAGGAGATAGCTCATAACTAATTACAAACATATCTTTGTCGCTAAATGATAAGACAGTTTCGCGGGCCATCTAGTGTTAAGTGAAACATGAATTAGATATCTATACTAATATTATAAAGAGGAAAGATTTGTTTGTTTGTTTGTTTCGAATAGGCTCCGAAACTACTGGACCGATTTCAAAAATTCTTTTTCCATTAGAAGCCGACATTGTCCCTGATGAACATAGGCTACATTTAAAAAAAAAAAAAATATTATATTTTTTTGGTTTCATGTGTGTTTTAATGTTTCCGAAGCGAAGCGAGGGCGGGTCGCTATCTATAATAAAACGACCCCTCCTACCCTTCAAACTGTAACAAAACATCACTTCGCTGCAGGTCGTAAATATATGTAAAGAAAAACCTTAATTAATTAAAACTCTTTAGTTTTTAAAAAGGATTTTTCTTCAGTGTCATGGAGTGAAGTCTGTCCTTGAGTAAAAAGCGAGTTCAGTTTTGAATAGTTTATTAATACTGTTTACTGTTTAATTTTTAATATTAATTTTAAAAGAGATTAAGAGCTGTAAATATTGTTTTCTTATTATATAACAGAAAATATAATATTAAGTCTATTATTGTTTATTCATTCTGAAATACTCCATATCATTTTATATATAATACATTCGAGGGTAATTACCTATCAATTACATTCACGAAAAGCAATACGTTGAGTACCACGTACATAACAATAATATATAGTCCGAATAATGAATTGACAGCATGACTTGCGAGAGCACCGTACCGTATGTTCCATGTACAGTTTTGTACCGTATGTTCCATGGGGAATGCTCTGAGGAATTATTCGAGATGATCCCCTCATCTCCTTTTTATCATCGCACTGCCCGCCACCGGCGTAGAGTCCACCCATACTACCTGGTGCCACTGCGTTCATCCACAGTGCGTTTCCAGAGATCTTTTTTGCCACGTATCATCCGGCTTTGGAATGAGCTCCCCTCCACGATTTTCCCCGAGCACTATGACATGTCCATCTTCAAACGAGGCTTGTGGAGAGTATTAAGCGGTAGGCAGCGGCTTGGCTCTGCCCCTGGCATTGCTGAAGTCCATGTGCGACGGTAACCACACACCATCCGATGGACCGTATGCTCGTCTGCCTACAAGGGCAATAAAAAAAAAAAAAACTCACCCGTCAATATGAGCGGGTCCCTTTTATCTTCATGTACTGTGTACGCCAGTACTGCAGCTAGCACCACGACCACGGCGTTCCGTGAGACTCCAACGAACCACAAAAACCTTTGCAGTATCAGCATACCTTTTCGGTTCTTGTCGTTTATTACACTTTTGATTTCGATATCTTTTAATGCCTGAAATTTTGTATTCCATTTGAGGCATTCGTGTATCTCTTTGAATTGCCTAAAGACTCTGGTACTTATGTCGAAGGTCAATCACACATACTTTCATTCACAAGACTACTTACTGATTTTTGTGTAGTTAAGACTTTTGGCCTTAAAAAGTGCCCAAGACCTGCTCGTGTAGGTATGACATGAAAATTAACCGTATAAGAGTGATGAGTTTAGTGACATATTTGGTACTCGAAAGTTGCGGTTTAGAGATCAGAACAATACCTAGCCTGTGGTTAGTAGGGAATGACTTGGAACTGGTGCGATTTGGCACTGTTGAAGTCATTTTAGAAGCAAATTTGATTTTACTTTCCAAGTGACTGTAATAATGATAAGCTGCTCAAAATTGAGAACCTTAATACTCTTGGAAGGCTTATTTACCTGTACATACAATTACAAATTATTTATTTGACAATCCATTCCATCTAATTAAACTTTTATGTCTGCAAACTAACAAAATATTATTAAAACAATCCTAAAGTGACATTGAAAAACCACATGCAGTACCAACTCAGATTATAATCATTTTATCAATTCCCAATTCATGATTTGAAGTTTGTAAGTACGGTAATTACTGGTTAAACTTTAAGCAATTGTAAAAGTTAACAAAGATTATATCGGGCTAGCACACATAAGTATTTTTATTGTTGTAAAAGGGCTGATAAAACAATACTCAAATGTATTAGAATCACTATATTCCTGCCTTCTATACATTACTATATTAGCTGACCTGAAGCCTACCACAAAAATGACAACACTTTTTATATTTGTTTCTAAATCAACTAAAAATATTTTTTTGTTAATTTTAACCTTCTGTAAAGTTTATTCCTTACCTACAACTATCTCAATCTTAAATTTTGGCTTTTGAGCAAAAACGTGAAACAAAAGCGATGACAATGCTAACAATTCGAAATATAATTATTATCAACAAAGGTAAAGTTCTGACCGAAACACATATGAAACGAAACATTATTAATTAAAAACAATACAAGCAACCTCCCAAAGACCTTTAATAATTTATATAACCTATTGTTTCGTGTTCCGACGCTACCGTCCATTACGCAGACAAACTTAATTCATATTGAATGAATAAGGGTTCAATTTATTGTCAACAGACTGTGCTTTATGTCCCCGAAGTGTATCCTTGAAAATAATTTTATGTCGGCCAATATGCAAAATAGTTTCAATAAAATATTTAAGACCACTTCATTTATTCCATTTTACCTTTATATTTCGTCTAAATTTGACCGTTAAAATAACTGTTCAGGTAATTTTTATTCATTACTTTCATTAGTTTTATAACGTGCTTTGAATTATTTTTTTGCAATTTAGCTTTTTGTTTTTCTCTTTTTTAATAAATATTCACGAACAACTTCCACGATGAAGTAATAACATCGTATAATATAAATTAAGCTGCAAAAATTATAATTTGCGTAATTAGTGTGGTGGTAGCCCTCAAGGGTGGGTACCACCACTCTGCCTATTTCTACCGTGAAGCAGTAATATTTCGGTTTGAATGGTGGGGCCGTTTAAAACCCATGTCTCAAGATGGATGGTGGCTTTAACACGGTTGATATCTATGGATTCCACTGACCGCTTAGTACGACTTACTATATTAGCACTTTTTTTTTTTAAATTCAGAATTTAGTTTTCATTTTAACGGTTGAAATAGCTAAGTTTGCATCTGGCACGCTATTTTTTCTTAAAATCTTTAAGCCAGTGTGGGTTTACAGAAATATAGATCCAAACTAATCGGTTGTCGTTTGCTTAACCACAGATCGTAAAGTAATTGACTAATAAATAATTACCATTCACATAAGCAAGTTCTGAATGAAGATAAATCAAACAGTGAAACTGCATCGGAGTGCGCACACCACATCGCAACGGACAAAGTGAGACAATCAAACCGTATTTACTTTGTAACGGAGTTTGCGAAGTTGCGGCAACCTCGGTCTCCGGTTGTACACAAGAGCGCAATGTCGCATTGAATTATCGACGAAATTAATACAGAACTAAGAAATTGGAAACTTGGCCGAAGGAATGCCCTTAACGCGTAATTTAGAACACAGGATTACACCTAAGGAAAACAATTGAATTTCATAGCCTCGCTAATGTTTTTCTTGATCAAAAAAATCCATCTAAGAAATTTAGAAGATCCTACATTATATCATAGATATATTATAGATACATAGATTTAGAAAAACTTCTGAAGTAAATTAGCCCATTGTTTTTAAATCGCATATCGTTCAGATTGAATTAATTATGAAATAATCAAGAGCTGATTTTATTTTTTTATTATTTTTTATTGCTTAGATGTGTGGACGAGCTCACAGCCCACCTGGTGTTAAGTGGTTACTGGAGCCCATAGACATCTACAACGTAAATGCGCCACACACCTTGAGATACAGTTCTAAGTTCTCAGCATAGTCACAACGGCTGCCCCACCCTTCAAACCGAAACGCATTACTGCTTCACGGCAGAAATAGGCGGGGCGGTGGTACCTACCCGTGCGGACTCACAAGAGGTCCTACCACCAGTAATTACGCAAATTATAATTTTGCGGGTTTGATTTGAATTTAAGAAATTATCATTCACATTCCGTTTTAATAATAATAATAATTTCGGAAAACGCACAACACTATGTGGCGATAGCTATCACTGAACATAATATATTTGATATATATTATGAACAGATGCCTGAATCTCGCTAACGACATTTTCAACATAAGTTTACATATACACAAGTTCCAAACAATAACACTAGGACTGTCGGTCTACCGAGCAATTTCACTGGCTCGATGGAAGATCTTCCCTTAGTCGTTACATCGCAAAACTGCAGTATTTCATATGAGTTTTTGTCAAAGTAGAAGATTTTTAACAGTATTTTCTTACATTTAGTTACGCTAGATACGCAATCTAAATGATTAGGTTTTTTCTCTGTTTAAATTACCCAGCATTACAAGATTGTTCATAACAGGAAAAATCATATGTAATGATACCTAGAAAAATTACTTCGGTAATCGCTTAACCCAAGAATAAGGTTCGAGAACAATTCACAACGAAAGGATTTCTTTCAGAAATAGGCAAGAGGGCAGTAATTACTAGTGACATTTCATCAAACTAAATTTAATAGTATATACGCATTCCGTCTTAAATTAAAAAAGTTATAGCATAAACCTAATTTTCATGATTGAAACCACGTTATACTTACAGCATTTTGAACAAAATGATCGTGTAAGCCGTATTTTCATGAAATTTTAAATTTAAATTAGTTAAGTTTTATTTTTATTGCTTAGATGGGTAGACGAACTCACAGCCTACCTGGTGTTAAGTGGTTATTGAAGCCCACAGACATCTACAACGTAAATGCGCCACCCACCTTGAGATATTAGTTCTAAGGTCTCAGTATAGTTACAGCGGCTTGAGTAATAAATAAATAAAAAAATGTAATTCTCACCTTCATTCCCATCAGCACAATGCAGCAGAATAAGCTGAGCAATGTGTCCTGCATCCTTGTTTCTCCGATATGAACAAACAGTTCCTTCCAAGTCGATATGAAGGTCTCTGCGCTGAACTTCAATCCTAACAGGCCTTTAATTTGGGATGAAGCTATAGTGATGGCAGCCGCCGACGTGAAACCCGACACTACCGGTAGCGAGACGAACTCCACTAAAAACCCTGAAAGTGTTTACGTATAAAATTAAATACCTTAAAAACAATTGCTTCATTCAACAACAGTTCATGCATCAATGAATAAGGATTCATATTTTTAATGCGCTTTTATTAGCTTCAGAAGTATGTACGTTAGTATGTAACGGAATCTTTGAACATGATTTTGATCCCCTTCAAAACGTCGGATTAACTCGAAATTTGGTAAAGTATACCAAGTTTCGATTAAGGAACGATGACGATACAATATTTAAAAAAAAACTTGAAATTCTACTAAAAAATGAAAAATAAATAATAGTTTAAAAAAACTAACAAAATACGCTTTTATACAAAGTCCAACTAAAAAGTAGAAAATAAATTTTAATAAATTTGAATTAAAAATAGTGTAAGAAAAAATGATTTTATTGTAAAAAAAAGCGTGGGGTACATGGTATCAGTAGTTATAAATATTTTATGAACAGATATGCGTAGAAGGGCTATTTTGATAATATCCTGAAAAGCAGCCCACACTATTTTTTAATTTGGATTTTCTATAAAAGCGTGTTTTATTAGTTTTTTTTTAAACTATTATTTATTTAATTGCATTTGTAGACAGATGGGCAGGTCCACGTGAAGCTCATAGGTTAGCGTCTTACTTCAGAGGACTCTCCTCAAACCTCGTACCATAGCACTCGAGAAACGTAGGGGAGTTTATTTCAGAGCTGAACGGCGCGTAGCAAAAAGCATATCTGGTAATGTATTCATATCTTGTAATACATTAAGATTAACGTCAATCCCATTAAGAAAATAATCTCAGCCAACCAATTTCAGAATAAATAAATCTATCTATCTTCTATCGTTCGATGCATATAGGATTAGCTTCGACGTTTAAAAAAAGAATGTCCTAAAACTAGGACCAACTTTAAAGTAGAGGATTCGTTTTTTATTATTATTAATAAATAAAAAATGAATTGTTTTCGGTGCTTGATACATGACCTAAATCTCAAAACAACGTCCGGTCCTTCTAAAGTTTTTGAAAATTAAGTTAAATGATTGCGTAACATAGATAGTTAAACAGATACAGGTCAAACTAATCGAGGATTATTCAAGAACAAGTATGCACATTCACATAGAGAATACTTGATACGTTTCACAAAGACTACGACAGGATACTGAAAATAGACACCGCGGTAACCGCTCAACAATCAAGGCGACCAAAGGGCGCTTGCCAATTTAGCAACACCTTGTCTACTTATCTAGTGCAATAAAGAAATTAAAAAGCTATCAGTGAAAACTATTTCTAGATGGCAAAGATATAAATTACTAACTAATTTAGGTAGTTAGTAGTTGAAGTCGTCGTGGCCTAACAGATAAGACGTCCGGTGCATTCGTGTTGAGCGATGCACCGGTGTTCGAATCTCAGGCGGGTACCAATTTTTCTAATGAAATACGTACTCAACAAATTTTCACGATTGATTTCCACGGTGAAGGAATAACATCGTGTAATAAAAATCAAACCCGCAAAAAATATAATTTGCGTAATTACTGGTAGGACCTCTTGTGAGTCCGCACGGGTAGGTACTACCGCCCCGTCTATTTCTGCCGTGAAGCAGTAATGCGTTTCGGTTTGAAGGGTGGGGCAGCCGTTGTAACTATACTTGAGACCTTAGAACTTATATCTCAAGGTGGGTGGCGCATTTACGTCGTAGATGTCTATGGGCTCCAGTAACCACTTAACACCAGGTGGGCTGTGAGCTCGTCCACCCATCTTAGCAATTTTTTTTTTAATATCCAAACATACTAATCTGAATTATGTAGAAGATTGTTGATGTCTCACCCAGCTGTGCGAATCCAGCGAATAGCTGAACTATTCCGGCAATGAAACACAGTAGCACGGCGAAGTCGGCATTAGTGCCGCTTGTGTAAGTGAAGGTGAGAAGTGACAGTAACGCCGTCGGTCCAATGTTGATCTGAGGGCATGTGCCCATGATAGCATAAACGAATCCACCCACGAAAGACGCGTACAGGCCATACTATAAAATAAAATATTACATCATTAAACTAACGTGACTAATGTGGAATATAAGATAGAAAGTTTAGGTGTCCATTTCTACAGTTACGTGATGCAATTTTGACCTCATGTCTTAAAGTGACTGAAGAAATTACTTCCGATGACATCAAGCGAACTGTGAAACCATTAGCGCATCTGTGCCTAATAAGATTGCCAAATAAGTTTAACACAGATAATATACTTTTGGAAAAATATTTTGCCATTAAATAAATTCGACACAAAACGTACCGTGCAGTTCTTACAAGCAGGAACTCTGATAGCTAACAGATTGGAGCAATAACAACACTCGCTCACCATTTACGATAGGTATTCTTAATAAAAATGATGCTCAATGAGTACTTTACAGTTATTATTTCTGAATAACAACAAAAAGAGATTCTTTAGATGGATGGTGAATGAAATTAAACAAAAAAAGTAATGGAAGTATTTACAATGAACTAGAGGTCCCGCAGTAGTCGAAATACGACTATAATTGAAATTGAAATTGTAAGTTTGTACACTATTATGATTGTATTTTATACTTCTATAATCATAAATTTCGCCAAGACTACACTATAAAAAATATTAACAAAGACAAATAATATATAATCTATTCTCAATTTGACAACAGACGTCAAGAACAAAAGTTTGACAATAAATAGTATGCATGCGTGTGTGCGTCAAATACATGGTATGTAGTGTGTGTAATGTTTTCTTTAATGTATCTTTTATGCATTATTTTAAAAAAATATTAGCATTGTGCACTTCTTCTCTATATTCTCTATAAGTGTGGAAAATTTCATACTCCTCCGTCCGCGCAATTTTCGTAAAAAGGGATACAAAGTTTTTGCTTCACGTATTAATATATAGATAGCATAAATAAACGTCCAAAACTCAGCCATAGCTAAAATTTTCAAATCAAATCCTAAAAACATGATAACCCAACTATATACTCAAATGGAAGTTAGAAAAGAAAAGCAAATAATCATGTAACATAATCAATTTGAACCTTAATAAAAAACACTAAAAGTGATTTGACTATCGAACCCAAAAAAATCGCGATCTATACACACGGTACACGTGTATTATTTATTACGTATTAAGACAAGAAATACACGGATGTCATCCTTTTTTGTTACAACGTATCATATTTATTTAAAACTAGTTGGAATATTACCACTCGCCGACGCTTTAAGTGTCCTATTAAACTGAAGAACGTACAGGGGTTTTCCCGCGCAAAATACACTGTCACTTCTGTGTGCATAATGGGATTTTTAACGTTCCCGATAGCGTAAAAGTTAACTCTAACTCTAACGTTAACTAGTGGCGCTATTCCAACTCCATACAAATTTGAGTTAAATTTTACACAATCGAGAACATTAAGAAACTCGCACTGAGCATGGATTTGTGTGTAATTTGTCCTCGAAGGGCTCGACCTGTCTATAAATTTAGATCGATTTTTTTTATTATCCTTCTGACTACAAGACGATCATAGGACTCTTCTGATGGTAAGTGATTACCGTCACTCTTGAGCGTCAGCAATGCCAGGGCAGAGCCAAGCCGCTGCATTACTGTAAGTACTGTTCTCAAGCCTCATTTAAAGAACGGCATGTCATAATTGGAAAACATCGAGGAGGGGACTTCCATCGAATGTCGGATGATACGTGAAGAAAAAGATCTCTGGTGACGTAATGTGAATGAACGCAGTGGTTATAGGTACTCTGCACCGATGGCGAGTGTTGCAATACTAAAAACGAGATGATAGGATCATCTCATACAATTCCTCAGAACACTCCCCATGGAACATACGGTACAAAATACAATAAAACGAATACACTCCATAGACCCAAATATTCCAAACAATACCTGAGAATGGGATTATGAGCAATCTGAACAGGTACTCTTCTGTAAGACGTCAAATAAAAGTAGCTGGTATTTCGGAGGCTCGCCTAATAGGTGGGAGTAGTACTCCACGCGAGTCTAAACTTGTTCTTGGTAAAGTTAAGTCTTAAAGTATTATCGCTTTGCTCTGTTCAGGACTACCAGCTCTTTTATGCCAACTTGGCTTTACCCTCCTAATGACTCCGATATTAGACATCGCTCGAATCGTCGACACAAAGAAATCCATTACTAGAGGAAGGTTGGAGGGATACTCTTTGAAATTGATCCGCGATTCCAACCTGTCTCTCTAGTCGGCTGAAATGAACTAAATTCAATTCACTACATTCGGAGACTCGCCCCAGAGAGTTTTCCACCTCAGATACAAGTTTTGATTGTCTGTTCTGCATTACGATTCGAGAGACACTGTGCTAACCGATATATCGCGCATCCCCTGGGCTGTCATCCGCATAGCAATGCATAGCATATCATTGATATACAGGATGGAAAACGTACCAAAAATTATAATTTGCGTAATTACTGGTGGTAGGACCTCATGTGAGTCCGCACGGCTAGGTACCACCACCCCGCCTATTTCTGCGATGAAGCAGTAATGCGTTTCAGTTTGAAGGGTGGGGCAGCCGTTTAACTATACTAAGACCTTAAAACTTATATCTCAAAGTGGGTGGCGCATTTACGATGTAAATGTCTATGGACTCCAATAACCACTTAACACCAGGTGGGCTGTGAGCTCGTCCACCCAACTAAGCAATAAAAAAAATAAAAAAAAATTACTACAATAACATTGAATTCGAAAAACTGCAATCATGTAAGACTAATGGCCACAAAGATGACTTCAGGAAGCCGTAGAAAAATAAACAATAAGAGTTCTTATTAATTTGATTTTCTAGAATACAGATTATTAATGAATGGAAACGCTTGTAAAAAATATTTTATTATTATGAGGCTGTAATTTATCATGCTTTATTGACAATTAAATCAACGCGGAAAATATAACCCAGGAACTCGATCATTTGATCAATGTTACTTACTGTTAATGTCTGTATTATTCAATTCAATAACATACAAAAATTTTCAACATCTGGTATTAAGAATTTTTGATTAATATTTCTCAAAAATTATCTAATAACAAGTAATTGGTTAGTGATAGTTTGATAAGAGTATCTTGTGCACTTATTAAAACATCCACATAATATACCTACATGAGCACATGCATAACACATACATATCATTGTATAGTAGAAATAATTATGTACCACAATGTTGTGATAACGTTCTTGGTCTAATGGTTAATACGCCCGGTGTAGTATGATGTGACTTAGTCGGCTTCCTAGTCATTTAATCGGGTATTACTTTTATTAGTAAACACGAGCGTATAGAAAATCACGAATGACTTCTTGATTGGGATTAACTTACGTAATTTGGTAATTGATGGTAAGAAGTATAGTGATCCTTGTCTGGTAGACACTTCTACCGTTTTGACTTCATCACTGGGGGATCCGTTTAGGGATACCCGGTCGAGTGGGGTAACAAACTTGGTTATATCGGAAGACACTACTGCCCAGCCTTTTGATTCAAAGTATTACTTGGGAAATAATTGTTTCCATTCTCGAGTTTACCAATTTTAAACAATGAAAAATGAAATTAAGTATATTTCTCTGCAATTGATTAAACTATGAAATTGAATCTTCAATCAATGAAATTTCAATATCTTATTGGATGAACCCAACAAGCAAATCCAGCAATTTTACTTCGCTTTTTAAACTTCATTAAGTTTCTTATGATTAATGAATAAAGTAACTTATTGATTAAAAATATTTAAACCCGATTAAAACTAAATTAAATGGCTTCACTTCTCATGCGAGGAATGCTCCGGCTACAAGACAGGCTGCGATATGGACATGAATTTATGGTTTAAGGGTTCAGTCGTTACAAAATACAATTGAAACTTCGTTTTTATCTCTTTTTTCAAACCGGTCCGCTAAATTACTGCTAAATTATATTATTATAAAATTGTTCTTATTTATATATATATATATATATATATATATATATATATATTTTATTTATTGCTATGATGGTTGGACGAGCTCACAGCCCACCTGATGTTAAGTGGTTACTGGAGCCCATAGACATCTACAACGTATATGAGCCACCCACCTCGAGATATAAGCTCTAAGGTCTCAGTATAGTTACAACGGCTACCCCACCCTTCGAACCGAAACGCATTACTGCTTCACGGCGGAAATAGGCGGGGTGGTCGTACCTACCCGTGCGGACTCTCAAGAGGTCCTACCACCAGTGATTATGCAAATTATAATTTTGCGGGTTTGATTTTTATTACACGATGTTATTCCTTCACCTACATACATATATACTATAGTTATCTCTCGTTAATTACAAAAATACACCACAAACGTTTCACAACATTACAAGGTTTTGTTTTCGTTTCATTGTACGAATAAAAGTGAATATCACGAACAAGAGGTGATCCCTTTAAAGTAAGAGTACTGCAGAGAACAATAGTGTAGGTACATGCTTCTATGGCACTCTTGTTGTAAACGTTTGAATTTCCGTCGGAAATGGGTTCGGCTAATGTTTTTGTTTTCATCGCTTTAGGTACACTGTAGCGGCTTGCGAATTGTCTGATACAACGTTCTGTGTTTGTAAATCGACTATTAAAACAGTCATTTTGAGTAGATTAAACACGTAGCGGCGACATTTTTTGATGATTCCAAAGGTTATGGAGTCGACACATTATTATAATTGTTTTTATTTTTAAATATTTTAACTTTGTGTAATAATGAGGCAATTTTTTTAATACTAAAAATACCAATGTATATTATGTTACATTCGAAAAAAACTAAGATTAATTTTAAATACAGATATTCTCAAACCACAAGTCCGTAGCTTGTGACAATCGTGCAAGTATGTAAAATATGAATACTACAGACACATTCCGGACAGAATTACAATCTTCGTTGAATACATGGACCTACTTGAAGTAAACACATAAACACAAGATTGCTCAGTAACGGATGTCTTCAATTTAACAAATACGAACTCGAGTACATGACTACACTA